CCCCTCCTCCACAACTCCCCAGGGGGCGGGGTTGCTGGTGTGGCATACTAATTGCATTAGCAGTGGAGAAACCTACTTTTATCGTTTTAATTTTACATGATTTTGGTTTTTAGCTCTCAACTTCCTTCATTGAAACAGAAACTTGAGCCACTGAGGCAGTGGCCCCTCCTTCCCGTTTTCTTAACAGTGGAGAGAATAACTTATACCATCCTCTTTAGCCTTCAGCTTCCAACTTTGATGTCTGAAGGAGAACCACCCAGATTCTGTCCTGGGTTACAAGCATCTCAGTTGAAAATTTTATAACTTTCTTTTGGTTCCTTTATTTTTCCATTCTCCCCTTAAAATCTTGAAGCAGTTAATCTTTTACATGGCCATTTAATTAAGAGTTGGTTTTCAAAATGATTGATGTTTTCTTCAATTTTGTCAGTTAATCTCCCTTCTGCTGTTGCGGCATGCGTTGACCGTTCCAGATGCTGATACGGACGATGACGTGTCTGCTTTTTTCTCTGTAAGTTTTACCTCAAACTGCATCCCATATTTCACACCAACACTTCTTAAGCATATGCATTGAGCCATTTAGTCTTAAATTGTTTGGTTCTTTGTGCAGCTTTTCTTGCTTCGTGCTGCTGGATTTCTCTTGCCATTCTACATAATGGCTTGGGCCGTCAGTATATTACAGCGACAAAGACAAAGACAGGTTTATTATCTCTTTGCTTATATTTCAATTTGAAAACTCATGTTTGTTTCCTTCCGGAGGAGACCAAGAAAAGTGGCAAGTTAAACGATTATTCCTTTTTCGTTTTTATCCACCCCTCGGCCCTCATCGCTTTTCTTCAGACCATGAAACCTTGCATCACCTACATAGTTTTATATTTGAGTCGATCATTGTTGTATCAGGAAGCAGCAGCATTGGCTGCAACGCAAATTGCAGTTGTACTACAATCCGGGCAACGCAGGGGCGTGCATTTTACCATAGCATCAGGACCCACAGTGACCACCCACCAGGAAAGTGCTTGACACGAAGCCCTCCGCTTACAATTAAACCGGTAGTTGATGAACAAATGAAGATTGTTTGGAGATGAATTATTTTTATTTGATAGTTCGATTGGTGATTCAGTTTTTTGTTCCTCCTATTGTGCATTGTTTTTGACTGATTTATTACATGTACCAAGAGTAACGAAAAAATTACTTTCAGTTTCGAAGCTTGCTAAGGGTAATGATGTTTGCTTTGAGTTCCATGCCAAAGATTGTTGTGTTTGTGACAACAAGGCATGTGTAAGTGTTGCTGCGTGGAAAAGAAAATGATGGATTGTATTCATTTGCAATGGGTCAGATGGCAAGCAGTGGTGTTCAAGAAGAAGATCATTTACCTTTTGTTACATCTAGTTTGTATGAATTGTGGCATATGCGCCTAGGGCATCCTACCCATGATGTTTAAGCTAAAGTATGCAAATCAATGAATGTAAATATTGAGAAACAAGTTAATAAAACGTGTGTTGCTTTTCGATTAAGGAAGAGCCACAAATTGTCGTTTGCATACTCCAAAATTGTGTATAATTTTTCTTTTGAACTCGTTTTTACTGACCTATGGGGACTCCCTCATATTGTCTCAAACTGGTATCGATACTATGTAACTTTTGTTGATGCGTATTCTAGACACATGTGGCTATACCTTTCGAAAGATTAGTCTCAGGCTATTAGTGCATTTCAGTTATTCCAGAAGATGGTTGCTACACAGTTTGGTTTTATTTTCAAAGTTATTTAGAGTGATTGGGGATGGGAGTATAGAAGTCTGTCAGCCATGCTTCTCAAGTCTGGTGTTGTAAATAGGGTTCCTTAGCAAATAACATTTTAAATGGTGAGTGTCCTTGTAAAACCTTTGTTTCCAGTTTGTTAATAAGCTAAACTGCCATCACAACAGCATATGACCAGTAGCTCATGGGCATCGAAGCTTGGGCAAGCACACCAGGGCCAATTCAACTATATGCCTATGCTTTCGGTCAACAACCCCGTAAGGTGTTCGGATGTAGATGTTTTCCTCATCTTCGCCCTTTTAACAAGTACAAGCTTGAGCTAAGATCACAGTCGTGTGTGTTTCTAGGAGTCAGCCCACAGCATAAAGGCTACTAGTGTCTTGCTCCTGATGGTACAGTGTATGTTTCAGGACATGTAATTTTTGATGAAATATGCTTTCCTTTTGTAGAGAAAGCATCTAAGGCGGTTCAACCTGTTCCCTTGGCTCCTATAATGAGGGCACTTGAAGTTGTAACAGATCTTACCAAGTTACAATTTTCCTATAATGAGACAGTGGCAGAGGCTGCCCATGACACTGGAGGTGATGGTGATCACTCAAGTTCAGCTGATGTCAGTGGGTAGACAGAGGCAACTAGTGCTGATCAAGGGCTTGTGCAGCATGATAATGTTGATGCTTGGTCTGCTGGTGAGCAGGCAGTAGAAACTAGTGTCGGTCCAGTGTCTATATAGCATGATGATCTGGTTGTTGCACAGGTTGCTGAGAATGGTAAGCCACAACTTGTTGTGCCATTTGGGGAGATGGATAATATTGTTATTCATTTGAATCGTCATCCAACGATGACAATGAACAAGTGTGAGGTTTTTAAACTTAAAGCTTTTACAAGTTTTTTAGGTAACAAAGAACCAGCCATGGTGCATGAAGCAATGAAGTCTCTCAGGTGGAAAGAGCTATTGAGGCTGAGTATTCTGCCTTGCACTAAAATGGTACGTGGTCTCTAGTGAGGTTACCTGAAGGTCGAAGCATAGTAGGCCGCAAGTGGCTATTTAAACTCAAGAGGAACCATGATGGCTCCATTAGTAGGTATAAGGTGCGAATCGTGACTAAGGGGTTCTCACAAGTGTCGGGACAAGATTTTAAGGAGACCTTTAGTCCAGTGGTTAGGTTTACTGCACTTAATGTGGTGTTGGCTCTTGTTATGACTAAACTATGGGCGTTGAGGCAAGTTGACGTTAACAACGCCTTCTTGAATAGAGGCTTTGATGAAGACATGTTCATGCAACAACCGTCTGGTTTTGAGGAATATACCTCAAACGAGACACAGTATGTAAGCTTCATAAGGCCTTGTATGGCTTGAGATAAGCGCCTAGGAATTGGCATGACAAGCTTAAGAGTAATCTGCTTTGGCTAGGGTTTGTTGAATCTCGTGCTGATGCTTCCCTCTTCATTCAGAACAATAAGGGGTGTTTTACATATATCCTAGCATACGTCGATGACATAATAATCACTGGGCAATCTGGTGATGATATTAATAGGGTGGTGCAACTATTAAAAGATGATCACTCAACGATCTTGGTGAGCTGCCTTATATATTTCCTTGGTAGTGAAGTCAAACGAGACAACGGTGTTCTTGTGCTAAGTCAGAAGAAGTATATCCTGGAATTGTTGGAGAATGCAGGAATGCACAATGCTAACCCGACTCCTACACCAATGGTAGGGGTATCCGAGCTTGTTGAAGATGCGGGGGAGCAGCTTATTGATGCTCGTGAATATCGAAGCATTGTTGGGGCGCTGTTGTATGTGTGCCACACAAAACCTAATGTTGCCTTCAGCGTGAATAAGTTGACTTAATTCATGCATGCCCCATGTAAAGCTCATCTCGTGGTAGTAAGAATAATTCACGCTACTTAGCAAGAACGTTACTTTATAGTTTACAATTTTCATGTACAGATCCTACACCGAACGGTGTAGCCTTTGTTGATGCTGACTGGGGAGGTAATCTGGATGATTGTAGATCAATCTTAGGCTTTGGTGTGTTTGTTGCAGGTTGTCTTTTTTGCTTGGCACTCAAAGAAGCAAAAGACGGTCTCACGATTGACCATGGAAGTAGAATATCGTAGTGTTGCTGATGCAACAGTTGAAGCCAAGTAAATCACCGCTTTGCTCTCGGACCTGGGTGTGGTTCAACGTGATAAACCAGTTATTTGGTTTGATAACACTAGTGCAGTTGAAGTCAAAAGCTTGTTTCAATGGTAGAGCATTACTTGTGTGGAAATGCGCGTGCTTCGTTGATGATGACATGATTGTCAGTACACTGCCCTAACCCATTAACATGTTGTTTCGGGACTCTAATTATATTCCCCTTTTAGGCTTTTCTTAAGGAATCATTGTCCTAAATCAATTTGAATTTTGATGCTTCCTTATCTATTCAATGATTGAGTTATCGGAGCTTAGATTTGTTTTCTTGGATTGTAATAAAACATGATTGAGGAATAAGGATTAGCATGAGTCGTAAAGCATAAAAGACAATATATCACGTCTTATAACCAAACGCAATAATAATATTCTTAAATTATCAGTTTTGGTTTGTTTTAGTATTTTAATTTTTAATTTTTTTTAAAATCATACATAATTTAGTTTTTATTTCATTTTAGTACTCGTTGTGAAAAGCTTATCGCGTTTAGTATCTAAACTATCGATTTTGGCCCGTTTTAGTACATAAACTTTCAATTTTTTCAAAACTTAAAGTTCAATTTTGAACGAACAAAAACTAAAGTTTTTAACGATGGGTACTAAAATGAAATAAAAACTAAACTTTAGGTATGATTTTGAAAAAATTAAAAGTTTAGATATTGAAACAGATCAAAACTGAATTTTTAGGTACTAGATGCGTAATTTACCCTTATTATTATTATCAGCTTAAGTCCTCAAATTCTGCCACTCCATAAAATCTTAAACACTAATACAAGTCTTTGATCCAATTCTAGGTCATTGGTTGGGTTGTAAAACAACACATGCAATACACAAAAAGGTCCCCCACCGTCCTCCTAATTCACCTTTGCCATGCACCACATCATCATCATCATCATGATTAACTTCACAATCACAGCTAATCAACATTAAAACCACCCCATACCCATAGGATTAGTCCTCATTTTAGAGACCACAAGTCATTATTCCTCTATCACCAATGGTGCTTTCTTACAAAGAGTGCCTCAAAAATCATGCAGCTAGCTTGGGCGGACATGCCCTCGATGGCTGTGGGGAGTTCATGCCTAGCCCTTCTTCCACCCCGACTAACCCCGCCTCCTTCAAATGTGCCGCCTGTGGTTGCCACCGCAAACTTCCACCACCGTTACCCTTACGATGTCCCCGCTTTCATCCGCCGCCTACCACCGCCACCTAATGCTAGCTCTAGACCAAGCCCCACCCATAGCCCTACCCCGCCCACACCTGTGCCATACTCTTACTACAGTACTTCTGCACCGCACATGCTGCTGGCCTTGACCACTGCATACTCCGGGCCGTTGGATGAGTTCCATCGCCGCCTCGACAGCTCCCATCCTTCGACGCCGACGATAAACAACGACAACAACAACAACCCGAGTGGGAGAAAGAGGTCAAGAACAAAGTTTACAAAGGAACAGAAAGAAAAGATGCATGCTTTCGCGGAGAGGCTTGGTTGGAGCATGGCAAAGAGTGAAGAAAGATCGATAGAAGAGTTTTGCTATGAAGTTGGGGTCGATAGAGGAGTTTTCAAGGTTTGGATGCACAACAACAAGAACACTTTTAACAAGAAAGATGTATCAGCAGCAGATGAAAACAGAGGATATGACTTGTAAGGATAACAATTAAAGAGATTTATTCTGTCATTGTTAATTCCATCTTTAGTATAACATAAATTCTTTGTTTTCTACCTCTGAGTCTCATTATCTCTTATTTTTGTGGCTGGTTCTTCCATAAGTCCAAAAACTGCTGGTTTTGTTCTATTTCTGGGTATCAGCAAATGGAACAAACATATCATATGCAGATGGTATTATTGTGTTTATAATTATAATTTGATTATAAATCTTTTAAGGCAAACAGGATATGATTAATTCATGTATTATTTTATTAGTTGCATTTGTTAAATATTAAAAATATGAATAAGATGAACTCCTCAAGTGATTTTTAATGATAATATAGAATATTGATTTTCTTGAAGAGATTTTGGGTTTAGCAGTTGCAGGGTTTATGTTGATCATCTTTATTTTCTTTTTACTTTTGGCTTTTTCAACATTGTTGTGATAGAAGAGACTATTGTCCTCGCTAAGGTCCTAGGTTCAAACTGTTGTGTGTGCGCGTTGTAAGAGACTAAGAAAATTTTAAACATATATTACTTTATAATCACCTCAAACTATTAAAGAAAAAGATATTGTTTCCGTCACCCTTACAAGCTAAAACATTGGGAACCCTTTTGTAGGGGTGAGGAAAACTCGACTTGACTCGAAAAAATAAAAAAATCAATTTCGATTTATTCGAGTCGAGTTATTCAAATCAAATTGAATTATCGTTTCGATTTTTGGGTTTGAGTCGAGTTAAAATTTGAAAGTTTTGAGTTACTTGAAAAAAATGAAAGTTTGACTAAATATTTTTTTGACAAATTTACGATTTAGTCTCTAATTTCATTATTCATTCAATTCTTCCTTTATTTTAAGTTTATTTTTATCAAATTTGAACGACATGCTACTAAACCTTCATAAAATACATATGTACTTTTTATTCCTCTTTTTGATAACAAATTTTTTTATATAATTTCTTTACAAAATTTGAATTACATGCTCATATACCATTATAAAATACTTATATAACTTCAATTATTATTTTTTATACTAAAAATGTACTATTTTTTTATTTAGTCCCTTAACTTTTCATTTTACTCAATTTGATCTTTTGTCTGCAATTGTTTGCAAATTATTTCTTCCCATCAAATTCTTAATTCCTTTATACTCTCATCAATATTTTTTCCTCAAAATATTTTCTTTAAAATATAATATTATGATTATATTTTATAATTTTAGATTGTATTTGATATATTAAATAACATTATAATGTGAAAAAAATATGAAATATATATATATATATATATATATATATATATCTCTCTTTATGGTTAGATAAATACAAAAAATTGGAATTAATCTTTACCGTAATAATATAAATAATTATACTAAAATTAGTATAGAAAATTGAACAACTCAACTCAAATTTCTTAAATTCGACTCGAAAAAATTTTAAGTTAAATTTAAATTATAAAATACGACTAATCAACTCAAATTTCTTAAATTTTAACTTAAATTGAATAACCCAACATCCTTTAACTTTGTTATTGTGTATTATATTTACTATTTGCAGCATTGTTGAACACACTCACTGTCATCATAAAGAGATTATTCTTTTGACTTGAACTCAGACAATATGAACACCCATGAGCAATAGAATTTTATTTTCTTTTTCTATTTTTGAAAATTTTTAAATCAATTGTTAATCTTATTTAGAGGAGAGTGGAAGGATGACTCTAAGAGGTCGTTTGGTTCACGGAATATAAGATTATCATTGGGAATAAGATTACCGAAATGTTAAATTACTTACCACATTACTGGAAATATTGTATTATCTTATTTGGTTTGTTTGGCATGAATATAAGATTACCGTGTTTGGATGAAGGAATAATAGATAAGAAAATGTATGTTTTACTAAATTGTCCTTGAGATAGATTTTCTTTTTTTAACAAATGAAAATTCATAGAAAAGATATTTTTTATTATTTCTAATTTATATATTTTTAATAAAATTTATACACAAAAAACATAATATATTTTTATTATATTTATTTATTTATATATTTTTGAAAATATTAAAACATATTTACAGCATTATAATCGTGTGTTTTATTTTAGGTTCTAAAATATTGGGAGATGTACATACTTACACTGGTGTAAGTATGTGTTAATTGCTACACATTTTTATTTATGCTACATGTATGAGTTGGAAAACAAAATATCATATCAAATTATATGAAAAAATTAATAGAAAATATTAAAAAAATATATAATATGAAAACCTTTTACAAAAATTAATCCTAAATAATACATGTAATAAATATATATACAAAAAATAAAATTTGAATCGAACACGTGCATAAAAATAATCAAAATAAAATAAGAAATTTGATATACTTTTATTTTAAATGCCTCATATTATTTTATAATAAATATTAAAAATTCATAAATCATTAAAAATAAATAAAAAAGATTTATACTCGAGTAATTATATACAAAAGTAATGATTATTTTGAAATAGTTATATTGTTTAGGGGTATTATTGTCTAAAGGGAAGATAATTGTCTAATACTTAAGAAAATGAGGGAATGTGATTCCCAAAAATTCAAGGTGAAAAATGCATTGTTGGTAATGTTTCATTACCTCCTCGTGAGAATGTTTTTTAACCAAATGTGGGTATTTAATTCCGAAAAATATTATTCCCCTTGATAATGATCTTTTCCTTGATCTAAGCGCCCCTAAGGGAAGAAAGATAAATATTCCTTATATAAGGGAATAAAATTTATCAGTTTAACCAACCGACTAAATGTATTTACTTTAATAAAATCAAACTTAATTATTCTCTTCCTGCTTTTTAATAAATAAAATAAAACTTTAATTTCTAGATTTAAAATTTATTTTATATAACAATAATAAATTGCATAATGTGAGGTGTCAATCTTTAAAATTTTACTTATGAAATTTTATATTAAATGCATTCATGTTTTTACTCTTTTTTTCAATTTTAGTTATTAATTTAAAAAAATAGTGTTTTAGTTAATTACGTTGTTTTTTCTTCGTATAGTCTAGAGTAATTACAAGTTAATAATTTCAAAAAATTTCTTAGTTTATTAATAAAATACATACCCTATAAATATAACTGTTTGAACCTGAATCTTTTAGGGAGAAAATATTATCTTTTAAAACTAATGTCCTTCAATAGATTCATTGATAACTTACGTTGCCATTTGTGTTATGAGATATTAGTAACAAGTGTCGATTGTTAATTTGACCCGTGTATTTCAGATAAAATATTAATTTAACATATAAATACCAGAGTTCTTTTTAATATTGACGATAATTTTTAACTAGTTGACATTAAACATTCATATCCTTATATTCAAGTTACTCTAATCAAGAACTTCAAAAAAATAATAATAATTTTTTACCATTAAAATCATGATCCGTGCCTAAAATTTCTTATTCTCTCTTTTTTTTTAACCTCATGAACAAAATATGCCAAACATAGAAATATTTTACAAAGCAACCCATATATTATATAACAAACAAGAATAACGACAGACTTTCCTTTTGGATAATTTACTACAGTAAATTTAAAGACGGATTGAAAGCATGTCATTTTTACTGTTCAAAAACAATATTTTGAATTAAAAAATAGAAGATGACATGAATGCATGGCGTCTACATTATTCACGAATTCATTTGAATTAAAAAATTTAAGAGGCGCCTACACTGTTCATGAATATTAAAAAATTTTGGACGCCTTGAATACAAGACGTCTTCACCGTTCACGTAAATTCAAATTTACCGCACGTTGCAGCATGGCAGAGGCTGTGGCAGGCGACGCAGGGCGGGGGCATCAACACCATTATTATTTATGGTGCGTTTAGTTCAAAGATTGTAAGATTATCAATAGAAATAAAATATTATAGGATTATTGAGAATATTGTATTTTGTATTTAGTTGATTTAGCATGAATGCAAGATTACCGTGTTTGGTTAAAGGAATAAAAGATTATTGGAATGTATATTTTATCAAATTGTTCTTATTATATATTTATTTTTTTAACAAGTTAAAAAATATTTATATATTTTCTTTTAAAAATTTAAATTCATAAAATTTATATATTTTTTTACAAAATTAAAAATATAAAAAGGTTTAATGAAAGGGTAAAATTTTATTTTAACCCCTGAACTTCATATAAAATTTTAATTATAGATTTTTTTGTAAATCTAAAATAGTTTAGGGATAAATTTGTAATTTAACCTTCGTATAATTTTTATTATTCAATGACAGATTAAGAATATTTTTGAAAGAAAATTTTTTTTAAAGGCATTTTAGACCAAAACTCCGGTAATCCAACAATACCTAAGAAAAGGGAGGTAATGACATTCCCGGTAATATACCCCAAACAATACACTATTGGTAATGTAAGATTAGCGGGAATGACATTCTCGACCAACAAAACAGGGGAATGTGGATTCCATTCCCATGGGAATCTCACATTCCCCCAACTAAATATATCCTTAGGGGTAGATGATAGGCGTAGATAATGGGGGGAAATTTTTTGTTGAGAGAGTTGATTTTTGGTATTAAATAGGTGAAGTTGAAGATAAAGTGTGAGAAAAAAAATAGAGTGAAGAAGAAGAAGGGGAGGAAAAGCAAGAAAACCTGAGAAAAATAGTAAGTTAGATTTAGTATTTTTATTTAAGTAATATTATATTTCTTGTCTAATTTTGTTTTAAATTTTTAGATTGTATATTTTATAGATATAAATTTAATTTTACACATGTAATTTCAATAGATTTTGAGCAAAAAATACAAGGAAAGAAGATTTATTGTAGTTTTGGTATAATTTTTTGGTTCAAACAAGTAAGTTGGTTTAGTTTTGTTTAAAATTTGAGTGATAGTATGTATTATATTTGTTTAGAATTTTAGTGTTTAAAGTAGTATTTTTTTAAATTATTTATTATTTATTAGTTGCAATTAAGTATGTTAATAGTATTTTTGTTTTTGAACATGCAGAGAAAATGAGCAATAAGTTTTTAGCAATTGGCCATTACA